TATTGTAATATCTATTTACATCAATACATAAGATTTGAATAATAAAATTTTTTAATTTATAAATACCAAACATATGTCTTTTCATTTCTATATAAGCCTTCAATATGTCAATTACACTTGCGCTAACCGGCAAGTCTTCAACTTTAACTGCTAATTATTTCCCACCAATTCAATTACATGAGGATTATGAGTGTTCATTAGTTGACTTCCACTCATACAATTCTATACCAAATATCGATTTCGATAACAATTTGTTTCATATTGGAAATAAAACAATAGACATTGCTATTGGTTGCTATGAACTTGAGGATATTGTCGACTACATTAAAAGTGAATACGAAAACGAAGACAACACAAAAACTATAGATTTTATAGCTAATAACAACACATTACAACTTGAAATATTTTCATCCCATGATATTAATTATTTTAATAATGAACGTTCTATCTGTACGCTTTTTGGTTATTATGGTGGTGGACCTGGACCTGGTGTAAAGCATTTTTCACATTACCCCGTAAATATTTTAAGAGTGAGCGCAATACAAGTTCAATGCAATATAACAACTGGAGCATACATGAATAATGCGCCTGTGCATACTCTACACGAATTTGATATAAATGTTTCCCCTGGATATAAAATGGATGAAATACCAAGCAATTTAATTTATCTTCCTGTGAATGCGAAAGAAATAAGTTCGCTTAAAGTGTGGATCGTTGATCAAAATCAACGACTAATAAATTTCAGAGGAGAAGAAATTACCCTTCGACTACACTTGAGACCAATATCAAAATGATTATCTATAATAAATATATGAATCAACAGAAATATTCAAACATTCCAATAAAAACAATCAACCCTAAAACATTACCACTCACGGATAAAAGCAAACAGTTTTTAAAATCTATTAAACTACGTCTCAAGGAAAATGACTGAAATACTTAATGTTGAAGACAGACCGTTCTCAGATGACACTTTTATTAAAAAAGATTATCATAGCTATGTTCCATACATCCGTTCTTTCAAAAACAATGATGAAATAAGAATTACAATTCAAAATCAAGATTTATATCTATTACCAAGTGAAAGTTATATATATGTTGAAGGTTCGGTAACATTACCAGGAGGAGAACTATCGTCTAATGCTCGCTCGCGTAATAACTGCGTAGCCTATTTCTTTGATGAATCCGATATGAAATAAATGGTATTGAAGTCGATCGCACATGCCATTTAGGTGCATCGAGCACAATAAAAAATTGTGTTTCTCTCTCAAGTGCTGAACGCAACATAATGAGAAATGCAGGATGGAATAATGGTGAAGATCTAAGCATGGGTGTATTCAACTTTTGCGTCCCACTCAAAAGGCTGTTGGGGTTTGCAGAAGATTACAACAGAGTCATTTTACATAGTAACCATGATCTTATTATGTTGCGGAGCTCAACTGATCTATATGCATGCTATTCTACCGACTCGAAAGAAAAATTAAATTTGACAATCACAAATATAACATGGAGAATACCTCATATACATTTATCGGATGCATCTAAATTACAAATTATGAAAACAATTAACATTGGAAAGTCGCTCCCTATTGCGTTTCGAAGCTGGGACTGTCACTTTAATTTAACATTTCCAGGTTCAACAAAATGTCATTGGAATTTTAAATTATCAACAAATAGTGAAAGACCACGCTTTATAATATTAGCTCTAGAAAATGATGGAAAATTCATTCACTCCAATTTATTAAATGTTAAGGTTCATTTAAATTCCGAAACATATCCATATGATGATTTGAACTTAAAATTTGAGGACAACAGATATGCAGTACTATATGATATGTACGCAAAGTTTCAACAAAATTACTTTTTAAAAGAACCGGAACCAATTCTATCATGGGAAAAGTTTAAAAACATGCCAATTGCAGTAATTGATGTTAGCAATCAAAACAAAGTCATTAAAAGCGGACCTATAGATGTTAAGCTGGAATTTGAAACTAATAGACCAATACCATCGAAAACATCAGCATACTGTTTAATACTCCATGATCGATTAATTGAATATACACCACTCACTGGAATTGTTCGAAAGATAATCTAAATATTTTCTCATTTTATTTATTTTCTTTATTAATACTTTTTTCTGTACTTACCTCAGTCATAAATTTTCAATAAAATAAAAAGCATTAAAAATTACTTTATAAATGTTTTATAGGAAATGTGGAATAAATAGCTTACAAATAAATAACAAATTGTTGGTTTATTTAATAATACAATATATTAAATAAAATTGGTGTCAATATCCATTTCCGATTCATAATTCTGCAGCATATTACTGAGATCATCCTCATCCTCAATACCATAATGACCCCAAGCATAGGTGTTTACTTTATCTAATCTTACTTTTCTTTTACTATCTTTATAATTTAAAACTACTTTATACAACTTGGTTGTATACACTTGGTGTAATTTGGATTTAAAATTTATCATGTAATCACTAGTACTAATTTCATTATATAAGGTGTTTCTATAGTTATTTATGGTGTACCGCCCAATGACACATTTTTTGACACCTTTCGCTTTTTTTACTTCTTGACCATCATCTACCGTATATGAATACATTTTAGGCCCTAGTCCAACAAATTCTGTCATAATTTTCCCACTGCTTTCGTCCTTCATCATACCGATAACCTTTTTATTACGGCGTCGTATATTATATTTATTATCTTCTGGGTATGATGATGTGTCAAAGAACCTATCAATGTCGGGTCTTATTTCTTCATAGACATCTTCAGAAAATATTGTATATATAAAAGAGTCAGTATCCATATAATTTAAAATTACGCGCTCATCGAATTTCTTCTTCATTTATTCATAGTGGAAATCATACATCTTCCACTTGGCTAATTCTAATATACAGAAACCAAGATATGTAAGCTTATTGTATGTTACTTGTAGCCGATTCATTTCAATAGCCCAAAAATCTGTACAAAATTCAGTTACACTGCTGAAATTCGGTCTAGACATTAAAGATCTAGCACCCAATACATTTGGTGCTTTATCAAACCAAGTCGTTACTAGCTTTATATCTCTTCGTTTATCAACATTCTCCATAGTTTTGCCAAAAACTGCATTAATATCATCCCATGATATTAATTATTTTAATAATGAACGTTCTATCTGTACGCTTTTTGGTTATTATGGTGGTGGACCTGGACCTGGTGTAAAGCATTTTTCACATTACCCCGTAAATATTTTAAGAGTGAGCGCAATACAAGTTCAATGCAATATAACAACTGGAGCATACATGAATAATGCGCCTGTGCATACTCTACACGAATTTGATATAAATGTTTCCCCTGGATATAAAATGGATGAAATACCAAGCAATTTAATTTATCTTCCTGTGAATGCGAAAGAAATAAGTTCGCTTAAAGTGTGGATCGTTGATCAAAATCAACGACTAATAAATTTCAGAGGAGAAGAAATTACCCTTCGACTACACTTGAGACCAATATCAAAATGATTATCTATAATAAATATATGAATCAACAGAAATATTCAAACATTCCAATAAAAACAATCAACCCTAAAACATTACCACTCACGGATAAAAGCAAACAGTTTTTAAAATCTATTAAACTACGTCTCAAGGAAAATGACTGAAATACTTAATGTTGAAGACAGACCGTTCTCAGATGACACTTTTATTAAAAAAGATTATCATAGCTATGTTCCATACATCCGTTCTTTCAAAAACAATGATGAAATAAGAATTACAATTCAAAATCAAGATTTATATCTATTACCAAGTGAAAGTTATATATATGTTGAAGGTTCGGTAACATTACCAGGAGGAGAACTATCGTCTAATGCTCGCTCGCGTAATAACTGCGTAGCCTATTTCTTTGATGAATCCGATATGAAATAAATGGTATTGAAGTCGATCGCACATGCCATTTAGGTGCATCGAGCACAATAAAAAATTGTGTTTCTCTCTCAAGTGCTGAACGCAACATAATGAGAAATGCAGGATGGAATAATGGTGAAGATCTAAGCATGGGTGTATTCAACTTTTGCGTCCCACTCAAAAGGCTGTTGGGGTTTGCAGAAGATTACAACAGAGTCATTTTACATAGTAACCATGATCTTATTATGTTGCGGAGCTCAACTGATCTATATGCATGCTATTCTACCGACTCGAAAGAAAAATTAAATTTGACAATCACAAATATAACATGGAGAATACCTCATATACATTTATCGGATGCATCTAAATTACAAATTATGAAAACAATTAACATTGGAAAGTCGCTCCCTATTGCGTTTCGAAGCTGGGACTGTCACTTTAATTTAACATTTCCAGGTTCAACAAAATGTCATTGGAATTTTAAATTATCAACAAATAGTGAAAGACCACGCTTTATAATATTAGCTCTAGAAAATGATGGAAAATTCATTCACTCCAATTTATTAAATGTTAAGGTTCATTTAAATTCCGAAACATATCCATATGATGATTTGAACTTAAAATTTGAGGACAACAGATATGCAGTACTATATGATATGTACGCAAAGTTTCAACAAAATTACTTTTTAAAAGAACCGGAACCAATTCTATCATGGGAAAAGTTTAAAAACATGCCAATTGCAGTAATTGATGTTAGCTATCAAAACAAAGTCATTAAAAGCGGACCTATAGATGTTAAGCTGGAATTTGAAACTAATAGACCAATACCATCGAAAACATCAGCATACTGTTTAATACTCCATGATCGATTAATTGAATATACACCACTCACTGGAATTGTTCGAAAGATAATCTAAATATTTTCTCATTTTATTTATTTTCTTTATTAATACTTTTTTCTGTACTTACCTCAGTCATAAATTTTCAATAAAATAAAAAGCATTAAAAATTACTTTATAAATGTTTTATAGGAAATGTGGAATAAATAGCTTACAAATAAATAACAAATTGTTGGTTTATTTAATAATACAATATATTAAATAAAATTGGTGTCAATATCCATTTCCGATTCATAATTCTGCAGCATATTACTGAGATCATCCTCATCCTCAATACCATAATGACCCCAAGCATAGGTGTTTACTTTATCTAATCTTACTTTTCTTTTACTATCTTTATAATTTAAAACTACTTTATACAACTTGGTTGTATACACTTGGTGTAATTTGGATTTAAAATTTATCATGTAATCACTAGTACTAATTTCATTATATAAGGTGTTTCTATAGTTATTTATGGTGTACCGCCCAATGACACATTTTTTGACACCTTTCGCTTTTTTTAATTCTTGACCATCATCTACCGTATATGAATACATTTTAGGCCCTAGTCCAACAAATTCTGTCATAATTTTCCCACTGCTTTCGTCCTTCATCATACCGATAACCTTTTTATTACGGCGTCGTATATTATATTTATTATCTTCTGGGTATGATGATGTGTCAAAGAACCTATCAATGTCGGGTCTTATTTCTTCATAGACATCTTCAGAAAATATTGTATATATAAAAGAGTCAGTATCCATATAATTTAAAATTACGCGCTCATCGAATTTCTTCTTCATTTATTCATAGTGGAAATCATACATCTTCCACTTGGCTAATTCTAATATACAGAAACCAAGATATGTAAGCTTATTGTATGTTACATGTAGCCGATTCATTTCAATAGCCCAAAAATCTGTACAAAATTCAGTTACACTGCTGAAATTCGGTCTAGACATTAAAGATCTAGCACCCAATACATTTGGTGCTTTATCAAACCAAGTCGTTACTAGCTTTATATCTCTTCGTTTATCAACATTCTCCATAGTTTTGCCAAAAACTGCATTATTTAGAAGCTTAAAAAAGTTTCTAAGAAAATCGTTAGTTGCTTCTTGCCTTTCTATATTATTTTTATTAATATAAGAGGCTAGCCATGGAGATTGTGTAAATGATAAAGCACGATGAACTTTTTTTTAAGACTAAACCATTTTCTAAACATTGTTTTAGATTCATGTAGTGTATTGGATAATTGGTTTTTGAAGCAAAATCTGCTATAAGTTTTGGATACTTTGAACCTCCAAATCATTATGATTATCGTGAAGATTCTCTGGATAATCTAAGTCAACTACTAGCACATATCCAGTTTGTTGATATTCTTTAAAATTGTTTATTGTCTGAGCCTTAAAATGGCGTCTTGTCGGGATCAATCCACGCAAAATCTCCTGTAGGCAGGTATTGTTGCATAGCCCAACCATACAAATTATTAGCATCTATATACAATAAATAGCTAGATGGTTTACTACTGTCGAAATCTTTCATGTATTTGTTATTTGCTTTGGTATGTCTTTTAGAGCATTGTGTAAGGCCACCTCTTATACCATTTTTAAATAAATTAAACATGTCTGAATCTGTTAACAAATCCAAGTCTATTTTCGTATGACGAAGCATATGATCAAAAGATAAACCAGGAGCTGTGTAATATTGACATACATCTAGTTTGTGAATTCGTTTACATGATTTTCTAAAATTTTCAAAAACATCGTTTAGAAGAAGCACGTCTGTTTTTAAATATAATTCCATGTAATCACGTATTGTCTTGCATTTAAATGTTTTCCAAACTTGTTTTGCATGTTCATAGTCTTCTACGCTACAACTTTTATCATTTAATTTACTACGAAATGCTTCAATTGGAGGTAGAGCAGTTTCCTCTAATTTTTCAAATGAGTCGATGTATTCATAACAGAATATACCCTTTTTCCTCATCAATTTAAACTCATCATCGTGCGAAAAATGTTTCCTTATAGATGTCAAGTCTGAATCATCACAGAAACTAGCTATTGCGTCTAAACTGGCTGCCATGAAGCGGAAAGAATCTAAAAATCTATTTTCAAGCGTATCATATCTACCATCACTCATTTTTATTGTTTGTGATAAAGATGTATACAATTCTTTATTGTGAGGTATAATATTTGTTTTCCCTTCAATTGTACTCAGCAAATTTGTTACAAACAAATGACAGTCATAAGCAGAGAAATTGTGGAAGTAAATAGGGATGAATTTTGAAATTGTATAATTTATATTACACTCATTGTGAGCTGCTCCCCTATACCGTCCTGTTATATGACAATGATCACGAACTCTATCTGTACCTAACTCGTCATCACATATATGACAATACACCGCGGAAGAAAATGATTATTTTTCATTTAATGTCAATGGTGTCATTGGGCGGTTTACATTCAAATAATTGTTATTAATATTCTTACCTACCCTTTCTAACGTTTCTATAAATATTTGAGCGGCATTTTCACCGGTATAAGAATAATATTTATCTAAACTACTATCAAAACTACACTTTACATTAAAACCAAAAGCGCATGGAATATGCTTATTTATGGTGTTACTCACTCCCTTAGTATCTTTTAAAACACACTCAAAATCAGCGTACACTACAAAGGGGGCATCCACTTGCTTCTTGTAGTTTGCAAATGCTAATCTATTCTTACCATCTTTGGGAAAATGTGTAATAACACCACTACAATTCTCCTTATGTCCCTCAAAAAGTCTCAAATTTGGTGTGTAATAAAAACATGTATTATATATTTTCAGATGATTTCCTCCTGAGGAAAGTTGTGATGACAGTAATCTAAAAAAAAAGAAAAATATGTATGTGTTATTAGAAATATTTATGTGTATTTTATTTTCATTATTCACCTTGATGTATCCTTAACTAGTATGTAGTGCGAATTGGTTTCGTTTTCCAACAACAGCAAATTGATATGTATAGGCTTCTCTTTATTAGTGACGCGATATGGTCCAACAACAGCATTTTCCTCGTGCCCAAAAACGTTAACAATTATATTTGGATTATTTTCTTCAAATATTTTTATTGATCTCAATTCTAGTGGAAATTGTAAACCACTAAAATTTAATCTAAATCCATCTTCAACAATTATTATCGGATCTGCAATATTTCTGATACTGTATGATGATGTTTTACCAGTATTCGTAAGCCTATTTCCGAATGCGGCAATTATGCACCATTTGAAACAATACACATCATTATTTGAAATATTGATGCATGCTTTCTTCTTTGCAAGCGTCGCTGGTGTTGGTATATATTGAGATCCCTTCAGTGGAGAGGATTTGTTAACGCTTATTTCAAGGGTTTTAAATTGGGATAGAGCCCATCCAGAGTCACGTTCTTGGAAATCCGACAGTTTTTTTTTTTCAACTCATCAAAATGCTGTTTTAAAATTTTATTTATTCTCTCGCTTTTATTTCTATGCAATTTTGATCTACAATGCATGATCCAAGTTTCTAATAAAATATTATCATTGAAGCAAATGCAATATTTTATTCTTTTTGTGCAAGGTTCATTTTGCATTTGATTATCTAAATGTTGTTCTTCTTGCTGTTGTGGCTGAATCCATTGTTGTTGTTGTGGTTGATTCCATTGTTGTTGTTGTGGTTGATTCCATTGTTGTTGGAGTTGGTTCAATTGTTCTTGTTGAGGTTGATTCCATTCTTGTTGCTGTGGTTGATTCCATTGTTGTTGATGTTGTTGTTGATTCCATTGTTGTTGTTGTGGTTGATTCCATTGTTGTTGTTGTTGATGCTCGAAATGTTGTTGGTGTTGATAATGATGATGGTTTTGTTGGTGATGGTTGATATTTTGATTTTGCGTCGATCTTCCTGACTGATTGTGGTCTTGATTATTATATTCCTGTGGAATGTCTTGTTCGTTCGACATTGGTGAATTATTATTAAGGTGATGCTGCACCCAAATGCTCATCTCATTGCGAAACTGATTCTGTTGTTCCTCATATTCCCAAAAATTTCTTTCTTTTTGCTGTGGTTTGGTTCCTTGCTCAGAATGTTCCACAGCATAATGAAGCTTAAGAGCTGCGGAATGCAATAAAAATTTCTCGCAAATATTGCACATTTCGTGCGTTTCTAGATGTTTTTTATAAGCTGAAGGGCTAGCTGATTTCTTTGAGCAGAGTTTGCATACAAATTTACCGGATTCCATTTTAAAAAGGTTTTTTTTTTTCACGCGTATAAAATATTTGATACTTTATAGTCGAAGTCTCAACAGAAAGTGAATATGAGAAACAGACTTTTCACAAAACATCGACGCTGATACAACAATTGTTTACACCACGGGAATTTTGACTGTCTCCTATAAGAAACTTATTTTAACCCGAAGACTACCAAGAATCCATCATCCAAAACAACATTAGAGGAAATAAAAAAAAAAAAAAAAAGAAATCATTGAAAATCAATGTATAATTCATACACACAACATCTTAAAAATTCCCTAGAACAGAAATTAGCCTTAAGTATGTCTCAATGCTAACACCTGCATACATTATAGAAACCCTTGGTTGTCACCAATAAATTCATCTTACACTTGACGAATACCAAGATTCTATCACTCAAACAATATTTTTTAGAATAATTGTCAACCTTTTTCCGAATTTATTGATAATTAATTCATAGTTCAAATATACAAAAAAAAAATCTTAAGTATATCCCACACAAATTGTTAGTAAGGAAATTCCAAATAAAAAAAATCATAATTTAAACACACATTTGTAATGTAAAGAAATTGGGCGCCATCCTGAAAAAAGGTCATCTCGACACTGAGTGCATCTTAAATAACACACACAAAAACATCCCCTAAAATATGCATACAATAACTCACTACACGACATTAACTGCAATAGAATGCCCCGTGGTTAATAAGTCATAGGCAAAATCACACACACACACACATAACCACCTGCATCACCCGGTCAAAATATCATCTTACTACAGTTCGTCTTAAACATTACACACAATCATCCCCTAAAAATATTACACACCTGCATTTCTATGCTTAAACAAACCACGCAAACAAATCACGTACAAATCAAACATCATGAAAAATAAGTCATAGGCAATGCATTGAACACTGCATTTCACATTAATTATCCCCATTTCACCTCGGCTACTGAACCCACATAAATGACCCCTATTTACACCACGTACACATATCACGTTCAAATCAAACATCGTGGAAAATAAGCCATAGACACGATCAATACAAATAAAAGGGATAACAATAACAATGCCTTGCCTTTGACATGCGTATTGAACACCTGCATTTGCCTCGGTGACTACATCCGCATAAATTATCCCCATTTCACCCCGGCAACTGAATCCACATAAATTATCCCCATTTACACCATGTAAACAAATCACGTTCAAATCAAACATCGTGGAAAATAAACCATAGACACGATCAATACAAATAAAAGGGATAAAAACCACAACGCCTTGCCTTTGACATGCGTATTGAACACCTGCATTTTCCTCCCGGCTACTAAATCCGCATAAATTATCCCCATTTCAGATCCTAATTATTCTCTAGTGACACTAATTACTAAATTTTAGCTAAATTTTGGCTATAAAATTCAAAATCAGCAACCCCCCTCTACTTATGGTGGTGATTTTGGAAATGCGTCCTATATTTGTAAGAAAATTACTTAATAATACTAAAATTGGTACTGGGTGAAGGAAAATAGCTGGAATCCCGAAATTTGTTACTTAAGCCCCTGTTGGTGTCTGTGGTTCAGATATGGAAGTGGTTTTGAAATGCGCCCTATATTTGCAAGAAAACTACTTAATAATACTAAAATTGGTATTGGGTGAATGATTAAGGCAGGAATCCCGAAATTTGTTACTTGAGCCCCTGTTGGTGTCTGTGGTTCAGATATGGAAGTGGTTTGGAAATGCGCCCTATATTTGTAAGAAAACTACTTAATAATACTAAAATTGGTACTGGGTGAAGGAAAATAGCTGGAATCCCGAAATTTGTTACTTAAGCCCCTGTTGGTGTCTGTGGTTCAGATATGGAAGTGGTTTGGAACTGCGCCCTATATTTGCAAGAAAACTACTTAATAATACTAAAATTGGTATTGGGTGAAGGATTAAGGCAGTAATCCAAAAATTTTATATTTAGGCTTCGGTTGTTGTCAGAAGTTAAAATATAGAGGTAGTTTTTTAAAAGCGTCCTATATATGTATGTAAATGCGCCCTATATTTGTAAGAAAACTTCTTAATAATACTAAAATTGGTATTGGGTGAAGGAATTAGGTTGGAATCCCGAAATTTGTTATTTAAGCCCCTGTTGGTGTCTGTTGTTCAGATATGGAAGTGGTTAGGAAATGCGCCCTATATTTGCAAGAAAACTACTTAATAATACTAAAATTGGTATTGGGTGAAGGGATAAGGCAGGAATCCAAAAATTTTATATTTATGCTTCTGTTGTTGTCAGAAGTTAAAATATAGAAGTAGCTTTTGAAAAGAATCCTATATATGAACGAAAACTACTAAATAATACTAAAATTGGCATTTTTTAAAGGAATTAGGCTGGAACCATGAAATTTGTTATATGTGTCTCTGTTGGTGTCTGAGGTTAAGATATGGAGGTGATTTTGCAAACGCGTTCTATATTTGTACAAAAAATACTATATGATATTAAATTTGGTATTGGGTGAAGGAATTAGGCTGGAATCCCGATATTTGTTATTTAGGTCTCTGTTGGTGTCTGTTCTTAAGATATGGAAGTGGATTTGGAAATGCGCCCTATATTTGTAAGAAAACCTCTTAATAATACTAAAATTCGTGTTGGGTGAAGGAATAAGGCTGGAATCCCGAAATTTTTTATTTAGGCCTCTGTTGGTGTCTGTGGTTAATACATTGAAGTGGTTTTGGAAATGCGTCCTATATTTGTAAGAAAACTTCTTAATAATACTAAAATTGGAATTGGGTGAAGGAATAAGACAGGAATCCAAAAATTTTATATTTAGGCTTCTGTTGTTGTCAGAAGTTAAAATATAAAGGTAGTTTTTTAAAAGCGTCCTATATATTTATGTAAATGCGCCCTATATTTGTAAGAAAACTACTTAATAATACTAAAATTGGTACTGGGTGAAGGAATAAGGCTGGAATCCCGAAATTTGTTATTTAAGCCCCTGTTGGTGTCTGTGGTTCAGATATGGAAGTGGTTTGGAAATGCGCCCTATATTTGCAAGAAATCTACTTAATAATACTAAAATTGGAATTGGGTGAAGGAATAAGACAGGAATCCAAAAATTTTATATTTAGGCTTCTGTTGTTGTCAGAAGTTAAAATATAAAGGTAGTTTTTTAAAAGCGTCCTATATATGTAAGTTAACACAATCTCCATTGTCCCACTCTAATACTTTGGTCACACGATGGCGAACTATAATAATTGTTCGTCCAACATATTGCAATGCAACACTCCACACGAGGCACAGTGTCAGCAATTATATTCATCATCATTGCTTAGCCAACACCAAACATACGAGCATTTATTCAACGTATTGCAATACAATATTCCACAAAAAGGCGCAGAGCCAGCAGTAGGAAACAATAATTATAAGTTTATTCATAGCTTTAAGTATCTTAATAAGTTAGTTTGATAAGAGAACTGGAATAAAGAAGGTGTAACAACACCATACAAATACCCAAAATACTTAACTGGCGCCCAACAGGGTTAAAAAATAAATATAAATAAGTTTATAAAAAACTTAAAAACATTAAGTGAAAACTTGGAAAGAAGGTGCGTCACCAGGCTTCGAAATCAGTCTGGGCTGCGTAGAAATAAGAAACACAAGAGGACAACAATAACAACGGCGACAACATCATCAGCGGAGAGGACACCCACAACATAAAATGGAGTCTCTACTTATACGATTGTAAGATAGTAAATATTGAATAATACATTTATTATTAAAACTAATATTAAATAACACAAATCGAGTGTTTGGAAAAATGTGTATGATAAATATTATATAGTGAATCATAAAGATCTTAATAAGAAGTGAGTGGCTGCTAGCAAAAATTGGTTTCGATAATATTTAAAATTAATTCCGCTTGTTTTTTTTTTTTTTTTTTTTTTTGAAATTCGTGAAATTTAAAAAAAGCCTGTTCGTTTTTTTCTGATATTAATGAATAATCGAGATCTTGACCAAGAAGTAGAATTTATAATTGATTTCTTCAATCAAATTGCTGTAGACGAAAGATCTGACAATAATAATATAATGGCAACTACCGCAGAAAGCATACGTGTGCTTGTTGACTCTGCCATTTCGGCGGCTTTGAGAGTTCAAAGACAGCAATTTGAAAAACAAATTTCCGATACTGATAATAAACTTGAAAAATTCTTTTTATCGACTCCTGAAGTTGTGCCTTATAAGGATGTTGAAATTAACAAAAAAAAAAAATCGGTGTGATGAGTCCTTAGAGGTTGTAAAATCCTTACCAGACATTGAAGGCAAGCATGAAACGTACGTTTCATGGCGCCAGACTGCTCATACAGCTTATAAGTTGTTCGAGCCTTACGATGAAAGTTCTAAACACTATCAGGCAGTAGCAATAATTCGAAATAAAATAAAGGGTTAAGCCGATATGGTGTTATCCTCATTCAATACAGTGTTAAATTTTAAGGCTATTATTGCCCGACTGGACTTTAGTTATTCGGATAAGCGTCCAATTTACTTAATTGAGCAAGAGTTGTCCACTCTTCGTCAGGGTAATATGACGTTACTAGAATTCTATGATGAAGTAGAAAATAAACTGACATTACTTACCAACAAAACCACTATGTCATATGAAAGTGTTGTCGCAAATTTTATGAACGAAAAATACAGAATGGATGCGTTACGCGTTTTCATTTTTGGCACAAAAAAAGATTTGAGTAATGTATTATTTTCCGCTCGTCCATACGACTTACCATCAGCATTGGCCCAAGAAGTTGAGTCAAATCGGGAAAAATACCAATTCGCGTCAAACTTCGCTAAATCACGCGAGGACAGAGATAAGTATAAGTATGAAACACATTTCGCACACGGAAATGTTCAAAGTAAAAATCCGTACTTTTCTAAAAGAAATTCAAATCGTTCAAACAAGAACGAAAATAATCAAGTAGAACCCATGGAGGTCGATGAATCTATGCGATTCAGACAATCAACTAAAT